TTGAGTGCCACAACGGAAACATAATTAGCTCTTTGACATGTAGTGGACAGAAATACGCCATTTTTAAAAAATCAGTTAGAGTAATTGCACTGTATCTGTTGAATGCTGCCCTGGAAATAAAAAAAAAGGTCTGCTCTGCTGTTTCCTCTTTTCACAGTAAAATCCAAGTTTGGCACTAGAATAAGTGCATGCAAACCCAGCCTTTGTGCTGGAAGAACATCAGGAAAACTTTGTGCATAAAAGTAAAAAACAGCTCTTAAAACAGAGCACACAGATCTGGAAGAATGAAAAAGTCAATGAATTTTATACAAGTTTACTTATTGCAAAACAAACTGTCTGCACTATGCTTATTAAAGGCATATTTCATTGCCTAATCATAGATGTCTATTGTACCTTCTATGTTTTGAATCATAATTGCAGTCTGTTCCCCAACTGTAATAATGAACGACATTTTGGCATATGCTTATATTGATTCCCATTTAACAAAGCACTTAAGACACATACTTGCATCCCACTGAAATTAATGGCTAACATTAACTTTGAGTACATTGATTTCACTGGGTTTTAGACAAATGGCAATTCATATGGGCACCAAATTGCCTACTTTGTTGGATAGGCATGAGCCTCTGAAGAGAAGCCTTCAAACTTAAAAGTCTGTACAATGTGCAACTGTTTTGGTTAGAAATACATTGCAGTATGGCACCTATGTTTTTATCGGAATAGCTGTGCTAGTGAAAAAAAGTGTATCTATGTATGTGCTGTACTGAAATATCTTTTCAGCTCCTGGTCTGGAATAATCTAAACTCTAGAAACATTTTCCAGTAGGTATAATGACATATAGTGCATGCATAAATGGGGAAAGGCAAAACTTAATTGTACACAACACCTTAGCATTGAGAACAAGCTATCATTAGGTATAATATAAATAATGCAGTACATTAAATTCCTAATTTATAAAGATTATTGTCTGTATGCTTGTCTGTTATTCTATGTTTGCTTCAGGATTAGGTGGTATATGAAAATAAGGAAAAAAACATCAAGAATTATGCTTACCTTATTCCCTTTTTTAGCTACTGTTCCTAGCTCTCCTTATTAGTTAGAATCTGAAAAGAAATATTCCAGGAAATGAAAACAGATTAAAAATGTGGAAGTAAAAATGCCTTTAAATACAAAAAAGTCAATATTCCATCTCAGCATCAAATCCAGGGCAAATACTGAGGTAATGTTAAACTCGCCTGATTCAGAAGCTCAGCATCACCTGGCTTAATGGGAACTTCTCATCAAAATAAGTGGATTTAAAGAAAATTGAGATAAAGTGAAACAATGTAGTCCTTTTCTCTTCTGCCAGAGAAGTTTCTCAGAGTTTTAAAATGTATTTTGCTAGTCATTTCCTAATTAATTTTCCAACATTTTTACCTAGCAGTACCATCAGCCACTAATTGGCTTTGCTGCAATGCATTTTTTCTACTACATGTTCTAGTTTAAAACCCAAAGTGACTAGCTAATGCAGAATAGTTTAGCCCTGTATAAAACTCTGACTGCACTGTATTTCAAGGGAGTTTCCTCTTGACAAGTCTTCAAGAAGCATGTCAACACACATGGACTGTGAAAATACCTGTTAGACCTCATTAGTTGGAATAAACAGGAGAGTATTTGAAACCATACTTACCAAGGCTACAGATTCTCATCATCTAAATTTAAAAATAAGAAGGTCATCCAGCCTGGATGGATGAATCTCTATGGCTATTCAGTTTACACATCAGAGACAGGTATCAACATTTCCTTATTAAAAGGTCTGAGTCTGTCTACTTATTCATCATTCAGAAATCACAAGGAAAAAAAACAGAAATCAAAAAAGAAATCTTTTGTAAGTAAAAGCCATAGGTAAAAAAACAAACAAATAAAATCAAACATTTACTAGGAAAAAAAAATCTTTATTAACTCATTAATTCACAACACAATAAACACTGGGATCATACATATGAGGGACCCAGCAATGCTCAGACTTGTTTGGACCATGGTGTGGTTTGACAAACAAGCCCTCATCAGCTGGCATCCTGAGAAGAAGCCTGACTAAATTTTTTGTTTGGGTTTTTGTTTTGGTTTGGTTTTACATTTTCACATATAATCAGTAATTTGCAGCATATATCAGTCATTTCAACTTACATTAGTCAGGCTTTTAAAAACAATTCTTAAGGACCATCCCTGGAGAGTCCTTCAGGAAAAAAAGCACAATCACAGTACTTGTCATTATTCTGTCTTGCTGTTGATTCTGACATTAGGGTTATGTAGGTGTGAGCTTATGTTTAGTTTTTCTTCATGGGGGCAACAACATTTTCTGATAAATGAAGAACAGAACTAGGCTGGTGTTCAAGATACAGGATCAATTTTCATGCAGTCTACTCAGCAGTTCTAAAACCAAGAGAGTTCTACTACTTGGTAGTAGTAGTAGTACATTGACATGCCTTAGCTTCACACCCCATATACACTAAGGACATGTTTCCTTGAGATCTCTTTACTTGTTGTCCCAAATCATTATTTTGAACTTCATCATGAATGAAATTAACTCATCCTTCCATTGATTTGTCTGTAGGGGCAGACAACTCAGCGTGCTGGATGCATTGATAGGACAGAGAAGAGAAGCAACTTCCACATCTTGGTAGAACCAACGTTTTCATTTATGGGTACAAAAGGAACTCTTATAGGTAATCACTATAAAAAAAAGTATTGCATGCATACACATTACAGTTTAGTCAGAAGTGGGATGTTTCTCACAGCAAAATCTCTGTAGACTGAGATGCTCAGTATCTCAATGTTTTGAAATACTAAGTAAAACATTTTAAAAAGATCTAATTTACTATGACCTTTTTTTTAAAAAACAGCTGGGAAAACCTAGTAGGATTTCTGGCTTTCTCATACGCTTAAGACCTTTATTAGAGGAAACAGAAACTTCTGAATGTGCAGGTATGCACACATTTATATACAGATATAAAGTTTTCATCATTTCTTATAAAGGAGTTGCAATATTCAGGCAATGTTTCAACGGAATTTCCACTCAAAGTATTTCTTTTCAACTACAAGCTTATGGATGACTTCATAGATGAAAAATGGCATCAGCAGATCTGATAGGGAATGACATTTGCAGTCAAACTGTAACACTCCTTCCTCTTTTACAGACCAGAAATATCAGGAAACTTTGTAAAGAAAGCATTTAAGATTTCTTTTGTTGCTGTTTAAGTCAGAACAAACTTCTGAAAATGGAGTATTCTACTGTCAGTAAGAGTGTGATAAATGCTATTACATCATATTTTAGAAGGACGGTCTGATCATTTTTTGTCTAATAGTTTCTCTGACAAGTACAATTCTCATGATAAAAAAGATTTCACACTTGAAATAAACCAACCATTTGTCTGTGTTGCATGCTGCAGCAGTGAAACAGCAGCCAAAGAAAAAATAGCAAAGATATACATGATCATCAGACTATTCTTCCAAACTGTGCAACAAGCAGAAGGACAACTATGAAAATACCGAATTCTACACACATAAACACCGATATAAATTAACTGCAGAAAGGATACATTTTGTTTCATCTCAAGCTGATCTTTTCCTACATGCACTGTTCTCCTGTAAAGGGTGCAAGAAACTAAATGACTATGCATATCAAAATGTTGGCAACTGCAACTTGGACTGAAATTCATTTTTTTTGTGTTTGCCTTTGTCAGGCTACCTATTTAACAGGGTTCTGCAAAAGAAGCTTCACTATCAAATTTCTGTTTCTTTATTGCCACAAATTAGCCAGCATCTCCCCCTTCTGGATAGCAGGAAAATAAGCAGAAAATTGCATCAGATTAATGCTGTCTTACTCTAGCCAATACTCAAAAAAAAAAAAAAGTTTGCAGATAATTATTTTCTATCTTTGCTCTGAGCAGGGCCATTTCTTTTCTAGACCATTGTTTAACAGAGTTCCCTTCAGTAACAGGTCTTATTAAAGCCACACCTAAATCCATTCAGATGTAGTATCCAGCTCATCAGTGACAAAATCTTAAAAACAAATCCACAAAATATATCAGTCAGTCAGATTTCCGCATTCTATAAAACAGAAAATGCTGCATGAGTTGTGCTATTAGTGGTTTTGATTCTACTTGTCAGCGTTGCTTAATATATGGTGTTCAAGCAGTAATTTGTGAGATGTATCAATTTAATTTGAACTGAACTGAATTAGAAATTTCAAGAGTAGAAAAAGAAGTCACCATAAAATTAATCTCTTTCTTTAGCACCTCTGAACTCATTCATTCCCAGCCATCACCATAAACGTTATGACCAGGCTGCCACTGATTAATCCATTGGGATTCATCCAGTAGCAGCGCAGCTTCAGTGATAAGTGATTTTCTATTAAACTCCTGTTCATATTACATTTTAAAGAAAAAACCCAAAGATGACTGCTTACCCATTGCTACACACTCTGGGAACTTGTTTCTACTAGTGAGTACAGATTCTCAGTGTTCCCAGATTACCATCAGTAATGAGCTATCCAAGTACTTAGGAGAAAGTATCATCACCAAAATTCTAAGGGAGGCCCTGTCTGATTCCTAGCATAAGTATGAACATTACATGAGACACTTCTCTTGGCAGTCAGTCATGCCAACAGAGAAGCTCAAATGACAACTGTTTAATTTGTAGATGACCTCAGATGTCACTGCCTTCAGTTATATTTACATATATAAAACTCTGATCATTCCCTAGCTCCCAGCAAGAGAACAGTTATAGGCACTTTGAAAGAGAGATTTGCTACAGCAGGACTGCATTGATTTTAGAACTGTGACGGTGTGAGGACAATTTCCTTGTCTGGCTGTGAAAAAAAGGTCTCTTTTGAGAGAAAGGGAGAACAAGAAAGATTCCTGGAACTCAAACCATTAAAGCCGTTTCAACTTTAAGTGCCCCTTTTCTTTACGAATATATTTTGTGCTTTTTTTCCTTCTTTCCAGGGATGGTATTTAACCTCAGCAGCCTGTGACTGTTGCATCCAAGCCAGAACGCTTTGTAATGTGCAACTTGGTAATTTCTTCAGCACAGGTAGGGTGAATGCCAATTGTCTTCATTAGTTCAGGATATGTAGCACCACATCTATAAAAAAAAAAAAAAAAAAAAAAAAAAAAAAAAAGAAGAGAGAGACCCACAAAGTCAAACACTATTCATCTGAAGCAGCTAGAATGTCCTAAAATATCAAAGTAATTCTGCTCTTGTCCATTTTATCACATAGAGGAGTTGCATTTATTCTTCAAACAATGCTGTCTATTATTTCTCGGGCACTTAACACAACAACATTTAAATACGCAGCTTCACAACACTGTTATGTAGGAAGAATTGTCATAAGAGTTGAGACAGAGAGAATTAAGCAATTTACCCCAAGTCACAACTGAGCCTATGGCAAAAACATATGCCAAAACTGCAGCCTTCAGCTTTTCTTGTACGTACATGTGTGTTTCACTAACCTGACTCCAGATGGAAAAACGCGCACACACACACACACAGAGGAAGAAAATCTTAATTAGGACTGCTGGCAAGAATTTGCTGAAGAAAGTAATATTAGAATAGTCTTCCATGATCTTAGAGAAAGTCTGGTGCTTACACGAAAATTATCAATGTTATAAGCAGGAGGAAAAAGTCTCTCATTTGCAAAAACAAAACAAAACACTAAAAAAACCCCCTTGAGCTAAAATCTCACTTGCTTAATTGCTTTACTTGTCCAATAACATTCTTAGACTTGATGACTTTCCTTTGAGCTGCTATTCCTGGCAGGTCATGCTATAAGAATAGCTGAAATGTCCCTAAATTTAAGAATTGTTTCAAGCTCTCTATGGCATAATGTTCTGTCCCTCTACAAAATACAGGGAAGAGAGCCATAAATGTCTTATGCCGTCCCCACATACATCCAAACCTACAGGCAAATAATCATTGCTGAGCACAGATGTTACTGGAGTGCTAAGTGGGAAGGGAAGATGGAAAATCATCCTTTGGAGAGACTGAAGAGAGACCTAATATTCGACAAAGGACAACAGCAGCTCTTACAACAGCGGGTGTTCCACACTGAAAACTCTGGATTTGTGGAATACAATAGAAACCAATACAAGAATCTGACCTGCTGAAAACCTCTTACTGTGGCTAAAATTTTAATTTCCCTCAGGCAGGGCAGAAAAGCGCTCCAGTTTCATGTGCTTCCTTTTCACTGGTTATTTTGGATAAAACTTCAAAACAATGACATCCTAAAAAATGTAGTACTAGAATCTATACCACTGGCAATTAATGGACTACAAACACATGTTGAAAATGTGTACTGAGGGTACACTGCAATCAGTGATTTCCAAGATATTCCTCACATGATACTTGCGGTCTTGCCTTCTTAATCCTTTCTGCTTTTCATTTATGCTAGTCAGTCACAACTGTAAGACTAAAGCTGCAATAAAATGGTGATGATATTTAGGAAAATGAACTAACACCACAATTGGGGGTGATTTCTTGTGTCCCAGCCTACTTTCTTCAAAGAGGAGTTACAAACCTATAATTTAGTAATGTAAATATATGAATCAACATTTCTGAAGATGTGAATCAGCAATAAGAAGGGAAATGAAAGAACAAATAAGAAATAATTGTAGCACACAAGAAGCACAGCAAGAATTCTCCATTTAACCAGACAGGACCCAGAATCATTCCTTCCTCCTTCAAAGGGAGCTCTATATTAATATTTGAGCAAAATCTTAAACCAGATCAGATCACAAAGGTTCACCTACTTGGCTAAGTTTGTTATTGCAATTATCAGATAGCTCCAGACAAAAATACTTCCCCTTTCCCATCATCTTACAGAGGTTTCTTTCTTACTGTATCATATTACGGTTAGATTATACCTCAGAAATATAAAAAATCATGCAAGTCCTTTTTGAGAAGCAGTGGCTGTGCACATTTAAAGATGAGATTAGGAAAGGAAATGCTTGACAGGTATAAAGAAAGGTTTTTATGAAAAGCACAAATATCCTTTTAAAGAAATTGCAAAACTATATGGTGATTTCCTATCCTGTGCATAGGAAGCAAGAGAAGCTACACTCTGAGAAAACTAACATTAGTAAGTTAATGCTCAATTTCTTTTTTTTTGCTTTAACTATATCAAGCCGACAATATATTTCCCTCAGTTGTTCCATAACTATATCCAGTATTACGGTAAGTAAATCCAGTACATCTTAATGAAGAACTGCAGTATTTTTAGTGAAAATATGTGCAATACTACATAAAAGTAACAAAAAGCATGGATCCTTTATAGTGTTGCCAAAACTAGGCAGCTATCTTTTATAATCTTACAATAACTTAAAAAGAAGGCTTTAGAAGCTAGAGACATTCTTTTGTACTTACTTGATTCCAAGAGCAAATCCTTGAATAACTTCGCCTGCATTTGGTCCAATGAAATGAAGGCCAAGTATTCGTTGCTCGCTCTCTCGTAAGCACACCATCTGAAAACAATACATTACATAGAGATCTTTCTTAGAACATTTAAAGATAAGGCATGAAGTTGAGTTAAAGGAAACTGAAGCGCCCCAAAATCCTGGTTCAGCCGTTTATTCCCAGTGTGCCAATAACCTACACACGTGCTTAAGTTTTACTGACTTCAGTAGGACTTATGCCTGTCCTTAAGCAGTTTCCTGAATCGAAGCTTTATTAGTGTATTTCTTTCAGACTTCAGGGTGCCACTGACAATGATAATTTGTGGTAAATTGAATCCTTTGTTGTTTGTCATTTGTATGAAATCCTCAAAATACCTTCTGTAGTCTAGTAACCAGACTAGTGTTATTTTGACACTGAATGGCCACCTTCACAATTCTCCAAGCCTGTGCAGTTATTCTCAGCAGCTAATCAGCTGTGTTTGCAAAGATGACCACTACCAATTATAGGATATTTTGTGCCTTTGTGATTTAGTCAGTAAACATTTACAGCGGCATGTTTGGTGAGATACATTTACCACATCAGCCACATAACCTAAAAAGGAGTCAAGCCTTGGAAGCAGCCAAAGATGAAAGTAAGTTAACAAGTATCTGGGAGGGCCTGAGTAACTACAAACTTAACCTTTATTAGAGAACTTAATGAAAACTTTTTAGTTCCTTTAAGGACACTATCTTTATAATTATGAAAAGAAAGTCAGTCTCTCCCTGTGTCCTCCCATCAAGCATTAAATCATCACTAATATAATAGGTTCTGCTATTCAGTAAAGGCTTGGATTCTTTCATTAGGAACCCCAGGAACAGCAGCAACCCTGACGTGGTACTTTAAATGTTGAGGAGTTTCAAAGAACAAACCCCTTTGCAATACAGTTTGAAACTCTGAAGTTTAATGCTGCTTCTTTAGTATGGACTATATTAAATATAATCCAACAACTATTATGCTATTACTACTTCGCCTTCAAATATTTACTTTCATTGACATAATTTAAAGGGAATAGCTAAAAAGAAGTAGCATCACCTTAGTTGCCCTGATAGTTGGGACAGTTAAGGCAAGCTACTAAGGCACTTACACAAATCAGATGTGACAAAATGATCAGATGTGTCAAACTGGCTGCAACTATTGACAATGGATATTCCTTACATACACAACAATAAGAACATAATAATTTTTGATGGACCTACAAAAGTTACTACATTTATTCAAAAAAGGTTGTTCCCTGATACCAAGGAGAAAAGAAAGAAGAAGAAAACTATGATATATTCTACGAACACTACACTTCACCTTATCGAAGATTCTTACTATGGGCAAGTGCATCAAAAACCTTTTCAACATTGAAGCAACTGGATTGCTCTAGAAGACCCATTTCAAGTCCAACACTGGTCTAAACCAGGAGCTTTTGGTTTTCATGAGTAAGACTGAACAGTTACTGTAGTTTTGTAAACCTTATGCTTAATTTTTTTGAAGGTAGCATACTTTTCTCAAGGGATGGCAACTCACATATTACACGTAGCTAGTTAAGAACTTTGCTGGGGGAAGCAGAGATTAATCTCTGTAGAATCTGGAGTATTTTCTAGGACCTTCAGAGCAGTTCAAAGACGGTATCAATCAGCAGAATGTCAGCTCTGAAAAATACTAATATCTGTAAAGCAATTTCAAGATGCAATAGGATATGTAATGAATATTAAACATTTGAAGTTATACAACTTCAATTAGTTGAAGTTAGACAACAGGCTGTCACCAAGAAAATATCTCATCCAACTTGAGAAGTTTTTTTGCCAAACAGTCCTCCTTAAAGCTGGATGTACCATATCTCTTGTTTTAAGTTAAAAGCAAGTTAAAAGCTCAAACACTCACTTTCATATAGCATTGAGTTGCATCTCTTTCAGCCACTGTAAACTCTAAAGGTTTATAATACGCATGGTATACCTGGTAGGGAAAACAATAACATTTTGTGTTAGAGAGTACTATTATGTAAAAAAATGCTATTTAGTATTATCATGATGACTACTACTACTACATATTTATAATGTCGTAGAAAACATGCTCATTATTTTGAAGATAAACATGGAAAGCACAGTAAGAGTTTAACATAAACCTTTCTTAGAGAACCATTAGATTAAAACCAAAACTGAAAAAAAAATCACAAATAATCATGTTACTCAAACCAATGCCACAAATTAAAAATGTTAGTTTTGTTCCTTTAAGCTTCTCCCAAAATTTTAATACCTTGTTTACTGAAAATAATGAAATCCAAGCAGCTTTCCATATCTATAATAAGGTATACCACAAGGCAACCCAAACTGTAATTTTTCCATTCTGAATAGTAAATGCTTATTTTTTCATTAATGATTTTGCCTGGGGCTCCAAACTAAATCCCTCAGCTGAATTTGCTCTCCAATAATACATAACATCAGCATCCTATGACACACACACATCAATTGTCTGCCTTAATCAGATGAGAACTATTGTTTTACAGTAATTTATATCATTCTAGATCGCACTAGCATCCAGAAACCCAGATAAGAGTTCTGGGACATATTTTTGAAGTATAAACTATAATCATAGAAGACAAAACTAATAACTGACTGGACATGAAGTACTGCATTTTGTATTTCCATAGCTTACTGAGTCATATGCTGACAGTCTCTTTGATGAGGGAATACAGGTAACACAACATATCTTTTCAAGGGTGACTTGTTTGAATTTTGTCTTACTATATAGTGACTGTTAATTTCTTCATCATGAGTATCTTAATCTCATTCCTTGTCTCAGAAGGGTAGGTGTGAATATATGCCGTAACAGATTTCTTCCTCAATATGCAATGTCCAGGCATATTGTATCAAGATATTTTAGCCTCAAAGACACTTAGCAGCTTGTGTCAATATTTCTGGGGACATCCCAAAAATTTAGACTAAAGAACCTGACCAGCAATTCTTACAATTAAAAGGAATGTAATCGTTATTTAATGATGGTACACAATATAACTTACTAAAATGGCAGCTAGTTTAAAGCTGTCACACCCTATCAATAATTTTAATCCCCTAGGTATCAATTTCCATTGTGACGTGCTGCAATACTTTTAAAGTCCTGAGCTTTTCTGAAGACACCAACTCCCTAACTGCGAACATAGTATTTTGAGGACCAAAATTTTTGCCTGATACAACAGCGAAGCTTCTGTCTTTTCATAGTGCAAGTCTGACACGAACTATAAAATTAAGATTGTTTTCATACCTCAATATTATCTGATCCATAACATTGCACAGCCGCTTCTTCTGACAGTCCAACACAACCATATTCCAAGGGAGTAAAAACCGTAGTAGGTACCTGCTTGTGAGGAAACAGAAAGTGTTACTGTTGAACCATATGGAGCAGCTGCATGTCAGGTACAGGGGAGACTTTTACATGACTGAGAAGTGTAGCTCTGTCACACATATCTGCTTTGGCTACTGTCAAAGCTGGATTCCAGATGACAAAATGCAATCCCTTTAAAAATTCTTAAGGAAAAAAAAAAAGCATAATATTTGGGGTTTATTATTGAAAAAAGAAATAACAACTCACATTGTCATAGTCCATCAATTCTGAAGATTGGCCAAAAAGACGCTGAGCCAGCAATTTTCCTGCAGCTATTGCAGTGGGTGTCAATTCAGGACGGCCCTAAGAAGAGAGCACAAAGCTTTGTTTTAACTAAGAGAGAAACAGCATCCAAGGATTTCTCCTGGGACAAAAGTCAGAGGAAGGCCAAATCTTTGGAATTCCAGACTAGTAGCCAGGGCTCCAAGTAGAGAAGGCAGTAATAATTTCTGTCCAAACATGCTTTTAAGTCTCTGAGTTTAGTATCTGTCTTAATGGGGGGGAACAAATGCCATGGATGTGTCAAAACCTTTTATCTTACCATGTCGCCTCTTGAAAATCAGAGGACATCCACATGCTAACCATTCACTTTCCCCTTTCTTTCCATAGCAAGTCTTCAAGAATTTTTTCAAATGGTCTTTTTAAAGCAGGAAACGCCTAGTATAAAGCAACAGTGTTTTTATAACATCAGACCTTTTAAAAAAAAGTTGTCACATTTTTACAGAACACAGGCACAAAAGCTAGCTATTCGTAGGCTATTACTGACTTCCTATGTTGGTCCTGAATTGGAGAAGTGGAACACTATTTTGCTAGCACTGCAACCTATAGGTTGAGTTGGTCCTATTCTCAGGCTCTGGTATTACAGAGGGGCATGAAAAGCATTGCTGTTGGCAAATGCTAACTTCCTGCAAGTGAAGGAATGGCATGATAACAGGATATAACCAGGACATGCTCTGGTTCAAGCCATGAATCCTGGCTACTTTTTACATCCAAACAGGACTACACAGTGTGCCAGAATCCCAGTTTTGAGTGCTGGCACAATACCACTGGAGCATCAGAATTCCAGTGCTAGTTTTAAGGAAGCTAGAAATTTTTGCAAATTGAAGTAAGGTATTTTCTAAGGAATTCATTGAAGTCTGAGGAAAAATAGTCCATGTAAGTTAGTAAGATCTAACAAACTTCAAAAATCTGGTAAAAAACATTATCGAAGAGTTCATCCAAGACATGTCATCAAGATGCTTGTCTGAGATGAGGAAAGAGGTCACAAATCTAGAAGGAATGATGTCGAGACAAGAAAGGCGTAACTGAAAAACACCTTTGTGCGACAACATAGGCTGCTTTATAAAATGTGTGAAGTTTTGATTCATACAGGTCCTATTTAGATACAACCTTGCCACACTCCTGCAAAGCTCCATCTGGAGGTAGTCATCCAATAAGCCCTCAAAAACAGTCTTCAGCAGACAATAAAACAAGGATGACCCACCACACACATTCAAGTTTTTCAAACTTTTTTTTCATTATCCTAAAGTTTTTTAGCATTTACTGTAATCCATTCCTCTTTCCCAGCTCCTCTTTTCTGTATGTTGCTAGATAGATTCTGTACACGGTATTAGCTACCATTTACTTCAGTACACGTAACATATCAATTAACTGCATATTAATATGCTGTTATCTGTATTAATAACCACCTAAGTTAAAACATCCATGCAAAAAAACCAAACTGAAACAACATTATGTCTAACCTGATAACAGAAGCTACAATTCTAATTGTTAATGAAGACCAACCTATTTTTACCCACAGCTCATGACAAATCACAAAACTGCAAGCCTATCCCTTTTCCCCCCCTTAGATCCATCAAGTCATGGTTTTTCAAATGCAGCACTTTGACTTTCAAGTCTGTAAATGTCATTTACTAGATGAAATTTGCCACTTGTTTTTTCTTACACACATTTGCCTGAAACATGGGTGCCAATCATTTCTGTAGCAGGAAATACAGATGTTGTTTTGGCATTCCAGAAATGAATAGAAGATTGGAACGAGAGATAAAATTGTGAAAGCACTGCCATGCATTCCATAAAACCCAACTAATTACTAAAACATCCATGCAGATAAAGCCCAATTTCTCATAAACAATGACTTAAAGACCTTCCTTGGTAAATATTTGAAATGAACATTCACTTTGCAGTCATGTGTAGAACTACTCTGCTGATTATTATGGATAAGAATTGTTCATAAGAATCCTCCAATGTATTATACATTTAAAAGAGATGGCTCCTAAGAGAGTTTAAAAAGCTTTGAAGTAATGTGTATTTGTTCTAACACAACTCTTTTTGGTCTTATTTCTATTCAAAGCAATCATACTGTACATTCCACTTTCTCTACACATCTTTGTTATAACACCCTTTGAAATATGACAGATGTATAGTGGCATGACCATATGATAAACCTCCTTCTGAAAGAACTTCTTTATAGTGTGTGCCATGCAAGAATACTACTGGAGGAAGAATTTTAACAGAGAGTTTATATCAGCCAGGGGGCTGGGGGGAATCAAACTAAAACTCCAGCTTGTTCTTCCTCGTCCTAATTACAGAAGATGAAATTGCCTAAATGCAATTTCACCTGTCAGTTGAAAATAATATTTAGCCAAAGTTTGAAAAACTTTTTTTGAGGGTAGACAAACTGACTGATCTCTGGAAGGTTTTTTTTTTTTCCCCCTTTTCTCCAAATGAACAACTTGGATAACATTAGGATTCCATTTGCTATACAAGGGTGCAACAAGACACCCATGCACACATAGTTTCCCATTTGTGCAAGCTGGGTATGACTCCCAAATGCAAACAGTCATTCTGAGCATATCAGGAAACTCGCCTTTCCCCCTCTCTCAGTCCCCTTCCATCCAGGGCACTGAATTAAAACAAAAAAGGTACTTCTTGCTATTTGGTAGCAATTTAGTGTCTATTCAGTGTGGTGGGGTAAAGGAGGGAGGAGGAGGGCTTGAGAACTACTTGCAAAGGTATGAGCAACAGCACTTTATGGTAGTAAAGAAGCTCTGACAGGGATAGAACTGAGCAGAGAGAAATCCTCAGCAGGAACACTGGAGAAAAAAAAAAAAAATCTTATTCTTATAAACAATATTAGGGATCACTAATGCTCATTCACAGGAAACAAGATTCCCTTTCCTGTGCTCTTTTGGTAGTTCTCACCCAGAAAGTATCATACACCAAGTTCTACAGCTTTGTGATTCTTAGCAGGATGCACTTGTTTCTTCTGTGTGTATTCTTTGAGACTTGCACCAACACAGAACTTTCTTTCACTGCTGATTCCCATGCCAATGAAATTTATTATCTAAATTAATTCTTTAAAAGAAAGACAAAATTAATTTAAGTATTCAAATAAAATAAACTTTATTGCTTAGCAAGTAGAATTACATGGCTCACATTGTACTGGAGTCAGATAAGATAATGGCAATAATTCCTTCTATCTTTAAACTCTGTAAATGTGTAAGTACTATACTGTGATTTCTTTAAATCCCTATATTGAGCCCATATGCAGATAAAAGCTTAAGAGAATATTTCTACATAGCACTGATTTAACTCTTCAGTTTTTTCCCAGTTGTACACTGGACACAGTATAAAACTGTGTTGCTGTTTTTAACGCTTACATTTAGAAGCCCTATGGAACAACTCAAGTTCAAAAATCTGCACTAATAAGGACAAAAGCAGGAAAAGGAAATCCAAGTTTTAACAACAAAATGAAAATGACAAATAAATGAAGACCTGATTTTTTAGATCCAGAGTAGGAAAGAGGAGAGCATCCTGCCTCTAACTTTATATTTCTTACTTAACTAAATACTCAAAGGGCAGAATACAAAAAAGCACCCAAAAGGAAATGACTTGCCCAAAATAACACTGCAGATTGGCAGCAAAATGAGCAACAGAATCTAAGGCCCTGCCAGCATTGCCTCTAACAACTGCTTCTTGGATGAAATTAAAATGAAAAGTTTGGAAAGCAGGAGGCCCAACCAAGGCATATATCAGAACAAGCAGGTGTAGGAGGTCATTGTGAGCAGAAAGAGGACTTCAGGAAATATCCCAGAGCAAGAAGTGACAAATGCAGAGGGAACTTGTATGTGAAATGAGAAAAAAAAGAGAGGGATTGTACATAATCCCAAAGCTCTGAGTGACTGGACAGGACAGAGAAGCTGTGGAGAATAAGAAAAAAAAAGGAGAAATAGCTGAGCAGGAAAGAGTTTTAACACAGTTTTAAAGGAAATGGCAAGTCATTTGTGTGAAGATGGAGACAGACAGGAAGAAACACATGTCTACACAGAGGGGAAGAGGTCAGGAATGGTCAACAGATTTATGAGATTTAAGTGTCTCTGGCAGAGTCCAGTCAGAAATCTGCAGGGCTATTCCCAAGACATCATGTAACCTGTTACCTCTCTTCAAAAACTCAGAGCACCTGTAGGGTTTATAAATTTGAGAGACCTTTAAAAGATTTTAAACATTGCAGAATGAGAAATCTTTTAAAGGTCTCTCAAATTATACTATATATGGTGTTTCGATATTTCTACAGTATTTACATTTACCAGACTTTTAAAACAGATATCTTCACTATATCAAAAGCAGTCTTGATAGGAAGGCATGTGCTCAATTCCATTAAGTTAACAACAGGTGAGAGAATTCTGTATCTTGCAGTGCCCAGCCTCTCTTTTCTACATATTGACCAAATTTTTCAAGAACAGCCCGCAGCTGATGAAAACAACCTCCTGTAACTGTATAGTTCAGAATCCAGACAAACATTATTTTTTATGAAGACAACATATTTGAAGATGCCCAACTTACAGTAGATACTTTGAGTTCTTCTGTAAACTGAAAATCGAGGGATTGAAAGTATTTGAGAGCACTTTGATCAGGACAAGACATTCTGGTCATAGATAACTGTAGATTATCAATAGCACTAGATTAAGGCCACAGAATTCTGTTTTTGCATCTATAATAAATAAATTATTTTGGTTAAGTTATAATGTCCTCTCCTTAAACAAACAAACACACACACACACACAAAAAACACACACCCTGTGCCCCACACCTCATGTTTACTTGGTATAATCATTCACAAATCAGGAACAGAAGTCAAATGCATTTAGTATTTGCAGCAATTACTTTTTCCTATTCTAGAGGAAGATACTTTGTCAGAACCATTTTGTGTCAGGGAGCAGAAATGCTGTCTTGTGACTAGTCTCAATTAAACTCCAAAATACTAAAAAAGGAATTACAGAACTTGTCACAGTCATTCCCAGTAAGTGTATTCAACTCCAGAAGGTAAGAACTGCTTTCACTCAGCATTCACAGGCAGTACGAAGTCATACATCTGAAGTGATAAAAACATTATTGGAAAGATAATTGAAGTGATAAAGACATTATTATTAGCCTCTGACCAATGATACGTTCCTTGATAAACATCAGTAATAATCTCTAATGCTGAGATACTTCACAAGAACCATGTGAAGGAAATTACTGACCCAGGTGGCTGGCATAAACATTACAGCTCTGCAAAATGAAAAAGAGCAAAACACTAAGATATATGCTAGAGTATGACGACATCTGGGGACTAGTTATTAGTCAGGAACAAAGTCGGCTTCCTGTTATTGTAAAATAGTTTATGTAGACTCAGTACCTCTGTTATGTCTCCAACTGCATAAATGTGAGGAACAGAAGTAGCTTCACTGGCATCAACAATGATCTTTCCAGTTTCAGAATTAGTTTTCACTCCAACTGCCTCCAAATTGAGAGTTTCAGTGTCAGGGGCTCGGCCTTAAGGAAAAAAAAAGATTAACGTAAAAACTATTGGAAAACTTCAGCAGTGTTAATCTAAAAGGCTAGCATCCTCTGCTGTAGGTTTCCAAGAACTTTGTGCTATTTGATATAGTCCAAGTAGAAACATGACAAAACTTACCTCGTACTGAGAAAAGCTGTAAGGGTGGAAAGAGT